GACTGTGGTAACTCAATCGTTCTTCAAGAAATTCGTAAATAGTCATGTTCAAAAGATTGTTATAGCATTGATTAATAACACATGAACAAACTTTTATTCAGTTCTACTCTTTCTAAGAGAAACAGTTGAAATGAGGATGCACCAGTTTGAAATCACATAGCACAGCGCGTCAAAGGACTTTTGGAGAGAATAAACTAATTTCTTAGAGCTTAGGTTTTTTTGGGTATTTAGACTGGTCCACGTCAGCAAAGGGGTAGAATGGATGTTCAAACGAGCTGAAAAACATGAAAATCAGCCTTATTTGCTGGACTGATAAACAGACTTGTTGAATTGAACAAAGCATGACTTTGTATACTTACAAGGACCAGATGAATAAGCGAGTTCTCGTTTTTACTTCTTTGAGCTTATTCATCTCCTCTTCGGTAAGTGTAAAATCGAATATGTTTATGTTTTCCTTTATACTAAAAGCATGGTCATTAGCGGTAAACAGGTAAAACCTCGTTTAACTTACTGCTCTGGGTTCACACTCTTGGGGATGGCAATCCTACCAAGTTGAATAAGATATCGTAACAGAATTTGTGCTGGCGTTTTATTGTGCTTTTGGGCAATTTCCTTTACAACAGGATCCGATAATGGATCGCCGTCTGGCCATGGCATTTCTGGGTGTTTTGCCTAGCATGAATCCAGTCACTTAGCTCTAACTACCCTTAAATACTTTGGACATACCTTCCTTCCTGGAGACCCAAGTGGTGCGTAAGCCGTAAATGACATGTTGAGCTTCTTGCATAACTCGTACAGCTCATCTTGCGGCCAGTATAGATGGCATTCGACCTGAACAGTAGAAGCCTCACAAGCTGGTCTTTCCCTTCGCGCAACTTGTAGGGCAGGATGAAGCTCGAATTGAATGGTGATCGCTTGACCGTGATATATCCTTCAGCAAATTACAGAAATTTCAAGTTTTCTTGCAGCTTGCAAAAACAAGACGTTACTTTGAATACTATACTGCTCGGAGTTTTTAAAAACACAGTCGCCCGATACGTATGACATCACCGTAGCGTGGCCCACCTTCAAAGTGGACAAGTTCCTAATCCAAGGGCACCATTCGACTCCGCTCGGCGGGGCGCATTTCTTAAATAGCAGTGCCCGCTTAGACACAGTAGAAGGTCAGACTTCACAGATCGTTCCAGATTTTTGCTTCCGGTGTTGCTCGGTGTGCTCAATCATTAAGCTTGCTGGGCAACCTACCTTTGAAGATGCGCCGCCGCCCCGAATCGAATAGTTCTCTTAAATCAAGTATTCGTCTACTCTGAATCGAGATATGGGCACGTTACGATGATGTCACATGAATCGGGCGACTGTACGTCGTTCTTCCAAAAGTTGTGAGCGGTAATATATATCGGAGTCCTTAATCAAGAGATCTCATTGCAGTATCCTCTTTTCCTTTTTCGAAATCAAACACAACTCTAATTCAAGACGCAGATTGATTTCATGAAAAAATAGTGAAGCTAAGCATGTGCTATGCAGTAGCGACGGCAATATCAATAATCT